TTCTTGAAGTTAAATTTGAATATTTATTTATTTATTTCAAATTGCAGGCATTTTGACAGTTTTCATCAGCCCCTTAGTTGACTTCGGGCTTCGCAGAGGGAAGGAACAGGCAAAGTCACAAAAAGTGGAGAAGGGGGAACAGAAGAGTGATTCGCGGATATAAAAGAGACAGTTAGGCACAAAGTCAGAGAAAAGGTATGGTGAAGAATGTGGAAGTGGTGGAATATGACATACAGTTTGGTCATGTTGGTTTGAAGTGAGAAGTCAACTGCCGGTTTATAGACTTTTTGCCGTATGAGTATACGTTGCCCTGGATGAACCACGTGGAGGTAAGTCTATCGCAAACCCCAAATTGAAATATTTATTCATGTATTTTCATTCTGACTAATTCGAATCACTTTTTCGGATATCTTTTCTGACTGCTATTTGGTTTTTTATTGTATAAGCTTCTGCCAAAACTAATAGCACCATTGATGATTTTAATATTCAAGTTGAAGCGACTGTGAAATAATGATTTCTATTGTTGCATCTGTGTATCATCTGGCGAACATATGACATGTCAAAATAACAGTCTAACATCACATCATCCTTATAATAATTTTGCCCTACATATTCAGCTGTAAGTGTTTCAATCAGAGTGATGTCAAGTGTGGTACCTATGGCATCAATTTTGGTCTGCTTTGTGCTTACCGAAGCTGTTTCCACTTTCCATCCTTTGAGAATATTAAGAACCGTGAAATATCCATTGTCTATGTTTTTACAAATAATATTTTTTGAGAGGAAGGTTGAACTGGTTTGTTCGCGACTGCAGAAAAGTGCAGACCACAAAGTGAATTATGATGATTATTTTGTTACAATTCACATCAGAAATCACCGATTGTAATCTTTAGAAATCCACATTGGTTACAGTGAACTCATTAACTTTTTATTAAATTTGTAATTATGGCATGCTAGACACAGTGGAAAAAACTGTATCTCAAAGAACTATTTGTTTATTTCAAATGGCAGGCATTTTGATAGTTACCATTAGCCCTTTAGTTGACTTCGGGCTTCACAGAGAGGAGGCGGAACATCAAGGTAATAGAAAGTCGAGGGGTGGAGAACAGAAGAGTGATTCACAGATGTAAGGGAGACAAAGAGGCAGAGAAGAGGTAAGATCAGTACTGTAGAAGTGGTAGAATATGACATACAGTGGGGCCATTGTAGTTTGAAGTCAACTGCCGGTTAATGGACTTTTGCCGTATGATTATGCGTTTTCCAGGGTGCACCACGTGGAGGTAAGTCTATCGCACACCCCTCACTGAATTTTTAGTCTTTTGGCCAATTCTTCTGTTTCAGACATCATTAGCCAGAGGCGAACTATCCCCCCCCCCCCCACCCCCATCCGGCCAATTACTCTGTGTTCATAAATAGAAGGGCAAAAATTAGAACAGACTCCCAGCCTCATGTAATGCAAGTCAAATCGTTAGTTGAGTCATATTAACTTATCAACAACCCATAAAATTTTAGAGAAGAATATTCCTTTTCTCAAGTGTACTTCTCGATTGTGACCCACTTCAAGACACAACCAATGATGCTAACTACCTTCTTTGGATGGCTTGTGAACAGCTAATAAAGAATCAACATTCTTTCTTTATATTTTTGCGGCAATAGCTTCGTCTAAATGACATCACAATTCACTGTAGCGATTAGCTAAAGTATTCAGCCCACTTCAGTGCTATTCTCTTGTTTTCACCCACGGATTTAGTTAAAAATATTGAAACTTTAATCCCCTACGATAATGTAAATATCTGCTCTTCCACATTTTGATACGATGACTCACAAAGATCGTGAAGTCAGTCAATCGACTTAATGAGCTTCACTAAGCCCCTTTAGCACAACTTGAATTGGTCTTTCCATGCACAAACACTTCTATCTTTGATTCTAATTTCAAATTTCCACTTCTTCAACCCTTTCCTGACATTTATTTCCAATTGTATAAGAGACGTGTCATCCCACTCGCAACTTGGTCTTCCCATTTAAGAAATATTGTTGCATCCTTTAGGTCTTTCAAAGATATCTTTTATCTTAACTCTGAGAATTGGTAAATGCAAGTTTGCTTGTAATGGAAGCACTTCATCTTCGATCAAGTCATCACGCGGACACAAACATGACAAATATGCCGAGAATATTGAAGTTCTTTGCTAAACTCTTAGACAAGATCATCTAATTGCTAACAATGTGATATATATGTATTATATTTAGACAGTCAGTTTATTAGTCTACCATTCTTGAACAAAACACGCTATTATGTACAGTCATAAATAACTGTCCGTTAGTATAAGTGCGCAAAGACGAAACCGGGAAATATTCTTCACCTCCTGATTCATGCTTTTAAAAAATAATTTCAATTTAGGACCAATTACAAATTGAAATATGTATACTTACAGCAGTAAAACATTCAGAACAAAAATTCACAAGTTAACATTTGAAAAGGTAGTTAATTTGCCCATAAGTAAAATATTAAATTTCCCTCATCTCTCTTGTCAAAATTCCGAAATTTGACAGCTAGCGTTTCTTTGTTTTTTTTCTCGTAATCGATGAGATCTTAAAATGAATTTACCCATATTCACTGCCAATAAGAACACTTAAGTGAAAAATCTACGGCATATTATTCGGCGGTAGTGATTTATTTATATCAAATGGCAGGCGTTTTGATGGTCATCATTAGCCCTTTAGTTGACTTCGGGCTTCACAGAGGGGAGGAGGGACATCAAAGTGAAAGAAAGTCGAGAGGGCGGGATGAACGGAAGAGTCTTTCAAAGACGAAGGTAGAAAGGTAGAAAAGAGGTGAGGTGAGTACTGTGTAATTAGTCGAATATGACATACAGTGGGGTGACGGTAGTTAGAAGCCAGAAGTCAACTGCCGGTTAATAGACTTTTTTGCCGTATGAATATACGTTGCCCAGGGTGCACCATGTGGAGATAAGTCTTTCGCACATCCCTCGGCGTTCGTGATCAATTTACAAATTGAAGAAAATATCCAACTTGATAATATTTTCTTTGCTACAGAAAATAATCCCATCTTTCGATAACCTGCTTAAAGAGGTAAAAAAAGAAATAATCACCNGGGGGGGGGAGGTGGACAGTAAAATAATGCAAATCCAACCATTTCAATCAGTCTTATAACACAATTTACGATTGAATAAAATAATGCCTAGAGACTCACTTCTCCGAGTTCTCTTATGTCGATCAATGTAATCCTTGAGGTGGATACGCACTTGTCGTTCATTGGGCAGATTGGCCACAAAGTCATGTTTAAGAAGTTCCGTAGTGGTAGGTCGCTTTCTGAAGTCCTTGGCCAGGCTCTTGAAGATGAAATCATGGAAACGAGGCGACCACTGACGAGCACCTAACCCAGTCTTGAGTCGAGGAGGTGCGTTGCGCATAATGAGGAAGAGGGCACGCATGGGATGCATTTCACACAGCGGAGGTCGACCTTCAGCCATCTCCAGGGCTGTAATCCCCAATGACCAAATGTCTGAACGAGCATCGTACGTACAACTCGCGTCTTGTTCACAGTTTATCACCTCTGGCGCCATCCTAAAATACAATCACAATAGGCGTTAGATGATCGTGGAAGAATTACCAGCATCATTACTGAATTATTCCCAATATTTGGGAGGGTTTTAGCATTGAATCTACTCGCACACTCTCTTAAATGCTACTTATTATTTATCAGCATTATCGCTTCTAACTCACAACGACTTATCATCATCGTTCCAGAAAAGCATTTAATAAACCTTCAATAAAATGAGAGCATGAAGTCATTCTACCAGCGAGTATGACGACACAGATTGGTCGAAGGTAGGAGGGGTAGTTGTTTACCACCGATCATCAAATGCTAGGAGCGCACACCGGTACTATCATAATATTAAAATCGGCAAATGTCTCTCTTGATAACTTGCTATTTATCGTCCACTTTAACTTCAAAGACACTATAAGGTGCACTAGTGCTTTATGATTCAAACACCAAATTAGGGATATATATATATATATATATATATATATATNCCTCATCTCTCTTGTCAAAATTCCGAAATTTGACAGCTAGCGTTTCTTTGTTTTTTTTCTCGTAATCGATGAGATCTTAAAATGAATTTACCCATATTCACTGCCAATAAGAACACTTAAGTGAAAAATCTACGGCATATTATTCGGCGGTAGTGATTTATTTATATCAAATGGCAGGCGTTTTGATGGTCATCATTAGCCCTTTAGTTGACTTCGGGCTTCACAGAGGGGAGGAGGGACATCAAAGTGAAAGAAAGTCGAGAGGGCGGGATGAACGGAAGAGTCTTTCAAAGACGAAGGTAGAAAGGTAGAAAAGAGGTGAGGTGAGTACTGTGTAATTAGTCGAATATGACATACAGTGGGGTGACGGTAGTTAGAAGCCAGAAGTCAACTGCCGGTTAATAGACTTTTTTGCCGTATGAATATACGTTGCCCAGGGTGCACCATGTGGAGATAAGTCTTTCGCACATCCCTCGGCGTTCGTGATCAATTTACAAATTGAAGAAAATATCCAACTTGATAATATTTTCTTTGCTACAGAAAATAATCCCATCTTTCGATAACCTGCTTAAAGAGGTAAAAAAAGAAATAATCACCTATTTCACCACTAAGCACAGGAGTTAATTATACACTTTAATAAAAATGATATTTAATCTTCAGCCTTTCTACTTGCGTTTAACCTGCATTTCTCGATTAACTCACTATATTTTTTTTATTTTGATGACCGTAAGTGACCTTACACTTAACTTAATTTGCATCAGAACTCTTAAATTGACGAGTAGCCTTAAATTTAACCTTCAAATAATCATATTATGCAAATAGGGTTATTCTTGAATCCTTAGCTAATGTGTGTATTTTACTTTTCGATCACTTAAATGATTTATTGTTTATTGATAATAGTTTCCTATTGGAATCATTTTTCTTCTTCCGTCACTCCCTATACCTTCCAGACTTAATAATTGATGTTGGCCACTCCACTCTGACTTTGCAGCTGCACACAGCGATCAGTGCACCATCTATACACAAAATTTGAAAAATTCTAATTTTTACTTTTGGGGTGCGTGATAGACTTACCTCCACGTGGTGCACTCTGGGCAACGTATATTCACACGGCAAAAAAGTCTATTAACTGGCGAATGACTTCTGGCGCAGTACTCATCCTACCTTTTCTCTACTTTCATGTCTGTCTCTTTACATCTCTAAATCACTCTTATGTTCTCCACCCCTCGACTTTCTGTTACTTTGATGTTCCTTCCCATCTGTAAAGCCTGAAGTCAGCTAAAGGGCTAATGATAACTATCAAAACGCCTGCCATTTGAAATAAATAAATAAATATTCGATTAAGCATCCTATCATTAATGAAAGCAGACTTCAAAAAAGAGCCCATAACGTAAATATGTATCTCATATTAATATTCGCATCACATATTAAATTGATGCATTGCTCTTCGTGCTTAAAAGATTTCTAATAATCAGCAATTGCAAAGTCTTTTCAAACGATAAACAAACCTCCTGGTTGATGTTCGCTTATTTTCGAACGCATTAGAAACTCACCCAGTGAAGTAGACAGCTGTGTAGCACCAACATTCTTCCATGCAGATTGTGACTCAGTAGTCTGAACCGAGGGAAACGGTTGCTTGGTAACTACGGAAGATATCGAGGCGGCTTGGGCTGTTGTGCTAGATGGTGCCTCTGAAGCTCCAACAGGGTGCGAAGACGGTAGTTGTGGAGGCGGAGGAGGAATGGGATGATCAGTGCGATTATCAAATGAACATTCCAATTCGTTATCATTTGAGGGTTGTAGAGGCATCTGCAGAGGCTCCTCTGGTGGAGATATTACTAGATTCGAGACACCAAGTGGTTCAGGAAGATCACCATGTTGTTCCAGTGAGGCCTAGGATTAAAACATAAACTTGATCTAATTGCATATTTACTAAATCATATATAAGATTAACTCATGAATATGCGATTCACAAGTTTAGTATTTATTTCAAATAAATGGTGACCGATTTATGAACTTTGAGATGTGTATTTGAATCGGTTTAAGCTATAAAACTTAAATCTATGAACGCTTTTTATGTTCAAGTATTATACTTCAATTTCCGAGAACCCCGGTCAAAACATGCTGCCTATTCGGGATCTGAAAGAAGATACTAACTGAAACGGTGGGAAAAATAACAAAACCACCGAGTGATAAAGAGACAAGATTGTGAATAGGAATTTGATCAATAAATAAGAGAACAATTTTAAAATTTTGGAAAGTGAATAGGTAAAATAAATGATATAACCTTTCCCACATGCATTTTTTTCAACCTTCGTTCATAGCTTTTTAACTATTACATTTCAATTATTTTACCGAAATGAGAAGTGCAGAATTTTCGTATTGATATGGGACACAAGAATATTTAAATACACCACCTTGTGCTATTGTTTGAAAGTCTCTACCCCTATTTAAACTGCCTGAATGCATAAAATCAATTAATGCTCGTACAACAGATACCATTCAGGCATAGATGTAAAGCCTTAAATTACACGGTTAAAATTTGAAAATGAAGAAAAAGCTTAAGATGCAATATAACTGCACTTCTTACTAGCACTTCGATTGTAATAAACTTCACTAATTTTCTGGGAATATTTGCACATAATCACGTCTAATTTGTGATAAAACTTTATTATTGGGAAATTAAGTTTGATAGAATCCAATGATGAACACCTAACAAGCCAATTAAGAATAAAGATCCACCTGACCACGAAATTTGGAGCCTATAAGTCCGAAAAAGGTGCTTACCACAGAAGTAGGTTCTTCCATGGAGGAATCATTAGATGAGACAAAAGCTTGACGAACCAGAGTGGAGGAGTTGAAGATGAAACTCAGAGGACGGGCATCTTTACCGTTCTCCTGGAGAAGGAGAAATTTTATGAGCTTTAACAAGAGACAAGAATATGACCACAACATCGACTTCAGGACATTCTTTGAACACATATTTCGACACATATAATCATAGCTTTTGATTTTATCATGAGTAAAATATGTTGCCATCGATCATAGAGAAATAAATAAAAAGAAATTTCTACTACAACGTTAAATTCAGAAACTGGTAGGGACGTTGATCAAAGAGAGGAATAAAGGGAAATATATTTGTATTACGAGCGAGGCGACTAATGGGGCCTCTCAACACAATTGTCACATAACGCATTAAGATGACAAACAGGACACTTTATCTCACTTCACCTATTTCTCTGCCGCATTCGAATACACAACGCCAGTAAGAGACTTAAATCTAACTCTCATAGAATCTACTTCCACTTCCTTCTACGTTTAACCAGGCAATTTCCCACTGCACTGTTCTTCCACCTCAACTTTTTAACTTCTAGTTTAAAGAAGAGCTATCGAATACTCTAAGACGCTAAGAAGATAAATGAATTTTGAGAAGTTTTACTGTCGGGATTATTAGTACATCATATTTCTCAATATTTAATAAAAACAAACGAATCTACTAAAATAAATAACTCACGCTATCGCTTCAATGAGAGACTAATAAACACTCAGATATATTATAAGAAAGTTCTGAGCCATTGTCAGAGTGAATAGAACGAGAATGCTAAAACGTACCCCAGACGGTGCAGAGGATTCAGTTGCCAAAGTAACGGGTGGAATAGCTTTGAGCTCAAGGGAGGGTTTTGTCGAAGCAGATAAAGAAGAGACGTTGGAGGCCGAGGAAGGCAGTTGAGAGCTGGAAGATGGGTGGAGGGGAAGGATGAGAAGGTAAAGGAATACCCATTCCTCTTCTTCTGAGGAAGAAGATCCATCCGATTGGGATACGGAATTGGAAGATACCAAATTTGCGGTTTGGATCCATTCGGCAACTGTCCAGCTACCCACTCGTGTAGCATCCATTCCGTTCACCTAAAATATAAACGTTACCAACAGTTAAAATGTCACAGATTTACTGTCTCCTGTAGAAATAAAATGACAAAATACTTACAACCACCAAAAATACTTAAATACTGCATCGCTATCACTTACACCAATGATAATATCACCGGGATGAAGTAAGCCACACCGACCAGCAGGGCTGTTTTCATTGACACTGGCAACAAACACAGGTTGAGAAACCTCTTGCGGTAGAGCGAGTGTACTGACATCACCTCCGTTAGTCCACACGTCAGGACCTGTGAGGAATAAAAACTGCTACTTAAGTATCATTTTAAAGAAACAGGATTGGCAAATGATGATCTAACACTAACCCGTGATAGAAAGCCCCCATGTATCTTCCTCAGGCAATTTCATAAGCTTTAGTTCACGAGTTTGAGTCCAGAAAGTACTCGAATTGGCGCTTTCATCAAAGAGCTGGTTTAGGGGTTCAGTTGCAATGATCAAGTTAGGGGGTGGTAGATTTACCAAACTGTAGTTAAAAGAAGCACGATTAACTGAGACAATTTTGGAGGTCAATAGAGATTGCAAAAGAAAAATTTCCGACTTACAGACTGGCACGGCGAGATCTATTTAGGTGGTTTTCAACTGGAGGTTCTTCAGATAACTTGGATCGAAGATATTTAGCTCGATGCAGTATAACCTTCTCACACGGGAAGTATGCGATTCTGAAAAGAAAAGCAATAATTGCTTAAACTCTTGAAGAGGCGTACTCGTTTGAAAGGCATAACCATGATACTAACTCGATGGAAGTACATTCGGACGCTTTACGAAGAACACGGAAAGCTTCAGCATTTGTGACCTTTCGAAGATTGTCAGAATTGATGCGGGTGATATAGTCACCAGGAACTAAAGCTGCTGCTCTTTCAATAGAACCTCCACGAAGTACCTTCACTACTCGACAACCATCTACACCACCAGCTGATAGGGCATCAAGCTCGCAACCTATTTTTTGACGAATAAATAAATAAATAAATGTAACAGATATAGTGAGAGATAGAAGGGAAATCTTACCAAGAGGAAGTGTATTCGAAGTGACAATTACAGTCTTCTGGTCACTAGGATCCATTTCAGGAACCACTAAACCTGGAGCATGATAGGCAACTTCTTCCATGTCCAGAGAAATTGGAGTGTAGTAGTCCAGAGGCTAAGAGAACAGAATTTATAATAGATGGCACTAGAACTAATGGCATTGTAACACAAATGAATACGCATTGATATGAAGATACACTCTGATTGTAACTTTAAGGGTGGCAGGTGTGTGTAAATAAAACGAGACGCAAAATAGTGAGAATAGGACATAGCTTGTTCGATCATGATAGAAAAATTAAGTCAGTAGGGCAAAATTTGGTGAGTCGCATAAACTTCTTGACCGAGGTTTATTAAAGAAATGTGCCATGCAATGCCAATTTTAATGAAGTTTTTATAAGAAATAAAGCCAAAGAACTACTTATGTCCCCTCCCCCCCCNTTTTTTATTTTGATGACCGTAAGTGACCTTACACTTAACTTAATTTGCATCAGAACTCTTAAATTGACGAGTAGCCTTAAATTTAACCTTCAAATAATCATATTATGCAAATAGGGTTATTCTTGAATCCTTAGCTAATGTGTGTATTTTACTTTTCGATCACTTAAATGATTTATTGTTTATTGATAATAGTTTCCTATTGGAATCATTTTTCTTCTTCCGTCACTCCCTATACCTTCCAGACTTAATAATTGATGTTGGCCACTCCACTCTGACTTTGCAGCTGCACACAGCGATCAGTGCACCATCTATACACAAAATTTGAAAAATTCTAATTTTTACTTTTGGGGTGCGTGATAGACTTACCTCCACGTGGTGCACTCTGGGCAACGTATATTCACACGGCAAAAAAGTCTATTAACTGGCGAATGACTTCTGGCGCAGTACTCATCCTACCTTTTCTCTACTTTCATGTCTGTCTCTTTACATCTCTAAATCACTCTTATGTTCTCCACCCCTCGACTTTCTGTTACTTTGATGTTCCTTCCCATCTGTAAAGCCTGAAGTCAGCTAAAGGGCTAATGATAACTATCAAAACGCCTGCCATTTGAAATAAATAAATAAATTTTTACTTTTTATAAGATAACGGTACAATAGGTGAGTCTATTAAAACACTTAATTTAATGTCGTGAATACTGGTTATACTAAGTAGTACTTAAGCATCCTATCTCAAATATCGATAAAAATCTTATCAGGGGCAAACGGATGTCTGCGAGCCAATTAGCATCATGTGTAACAATTAAAAATCACCTGAAAAGTTTAACAGTTGTTCATTTCCTTTTGTTATTCCCATTGGTCTGCTTTCATACGGGAATTTGATTCGCTCTCGTTATTGTGTTTATCTTCCCTGCCAATCGCAAGCATTAGCCTTGAAGCCCTAGCCAATAACGCTGAAGTTATGCCTACGAGTTAGAATCGGTTTATTGTGGTCCTATTTGCAACTTTAGAGTACCTAGTCTGCACCTATGCCTGCTAGCGAAAGTTGTGGCACTACCTCAACATCAACACCAACCATTGAGCACAGAAATGTGCTTATCCCTATCGACGCTAGTCACAACTGTGAAAGGGCATTCTCATGGTACCTGGAGAACTTGAAAACCGAAAAGGATCTGATTTTCTTTGTCCATGTCATCGAACCTGCTTATTCTTCTCCTGCTGTTGGGTTAGCTATTGAGTCACCTCCCATTATGATTGATGATATGACAAGAGTGATGGAAGAAAGTGTTGTCATAGGTAAGACGCTGGGACAAAAGTACATGAAGATGGCAAAGAGTGCCAAATTGCCCTACAAAGCATTCCTCCACATTGACACCAAACCCGGTGCTGCTATCGTGAGATCTGCTACCGATCATAAAGCTCATCTTATCGTTATCGGATCCCGTGGACATGGAGCGCTCAGGAGAACCTTCTTGGGTAGTGTTTCGGACTATGTTGTTCACCACTCTCATATCCCGGTTGCTGTTATTCCTCCAATGCATCCTGCACCTCATGAACACAAAGATCATTGAATAAGCCTTAATTGTACAATCACACTCCCTCAGGCTCTATGCTATCTTGAAGGTTTCTAATCCCATTTGTGAAAAGAAAGTGAGCTTTGAATATGGTAAATATATGAAAATCGCACGTTTTTTTCTTAATACGGGGAGTTGTCTCCTTTATTTGATGATCTCTTGTAGTAGGTTTTAATACAATTCCTTTCTGTTAGTTTTTAAAACAAATTTTAGTGCATGTAAAGATTATTTTATTTATGAGCGATTTACCTTTTTTGCTTTTGGCAGCTTGTTTAGTTGTTCTTTGAATTGTTCTAAAACCTTATCTAAAGTGAAGTCAGCGTTAACCCTTTGCAAATTAATTTCAATTTTAATGGTATAGGTTCAATATATGACTTCCTATCAGCCCAAGCTTATAGGATTTGAGGCCTAAGGTAATCACAGGTGTAATTGCTAAGATCAATTTATCCTCTCTTAGTTATGTGTTACTGCCACAAGTTGAGGGACAACTGAGAACAATGAAACTGTTGCCAACCAAATATTCATTTTTTAACTTTGCTCTTTTGAACTCAATTTTAATCACTTTGTTTAAGTGAACGGGTCTAAAAAGAGAACATCATCGTCCATCATGATCCGATCAATCATGATTTAGCTAATGTGATTTATTCTAAGGCTGTTTCATGAAAGTGCATAGGACGCGTTATCATTTAAATAGGATAGGGTGGAAGCTTTGCTAGTCAACCCCAAGTCAGATATGACCATGAGCAATCGAAATTATCGTCTTTTAGCTAAAACGATTTCCCAAACCACTTGAGCTTCATAATCAGGCACACTATCAAGTCTGGCTTTTTATAGGGAAATATGTAATTAGGGTAAATTTAGAAATTGGGTAGTCAGTTATAGAATTGAATGTGATTAAGTCAAACTCACATGAGAGAAAAGTCGATTTCATGCTATCAAAATGTATTTTAATAGTGTGATTTGCACATAGTTTCATTTTCGATGGTATCTTCAGGTCAGGCATTTGGTATTAAAAGCTTAATATCTACCGCTAATCAAACACTAACAAGTGGTTTGACAATGGCAAAAATTTAGGGAATTGACAATTCTCTTTTTATTAACATTGATTTAAACTTTATCACATTTTGGTTAAGGACAGCTATCAAGGACATAACTTATCAAGTTTTGAAATTACTCCATAAAGCCCATTTTCTGTTGAAAAGGTGGCTTATTCCTGTTTTTGCGAATCCTCGACCCTGACAGACATAACACGCAAACAGGTAATATTAAGACCATCAATAAACATGTATCCTTTTGTACAAATAGACACTTGAGTTCCTTTCGTATTCAGACACAATGAGGGAAGCAACTTTAGGAGTTTCGCTCGGTAGAAAGTGTCAGAGTGTGCTTGTTGGGAATACATTATTTTTTTGTTAGAGTTAACAATGTCCACCTCAAAGGCAGACAGAGAATACGTTAAGAATCGCGTGCCGCTTTTCTTTCCTTAGAGCTTGAATGCCTGTAAGTCTACAAAAGCCATTGCCGAAGTTTATGGTAAAATGCAAACACCCGTCCATAAAAAACCAAATGAGTTAAATAGGAATTCAAGTGAATCACCCAAATCGGAACAACTTGTAAAGTTTGATGATGACGTAATAAAATCGCCGGTTGAAATAGATCTTCTGTTAACTATGGGGTGGATTATTGGAGGATCTCGCATGTGGATAGTCAGTTGTGCGATTACACTTGAATCGCATTGGTTAATATAATAGGTGGGAATTTTCGTGTTTTGCATCAACTTTCCGAGTGTAACGATGGTAAGTAGAGGAATATGTTCATTTCTACAGTTTTCGCAACGGTTATTTCACCATTTTTTAGCCAATTGCCACTGGAAACGAGAAATGGGTTATTTTAGACGACATTGTAAAAATAAAAAGACTGTCTAAAAATCAAACACCCATTTCATTCCTTTTAGTTGACACTTCGAAACTTTTATGCATTTTGTGGGATATACGCGCAATAATCAATTAAGAATTTCCATGACCGGACGAGCCAGTTATAATTGATGTGTATTGTTGTTGCTGACAAATAAAGATAATTGAGTTTTAGCCAGGGTTTGGCTGAACCGACCAGAAGTCAAACAGAATCGGGCTGTTTGAAATCCAAACCAAGGGTCTCGGCAGGAAGTGAGAGTGCAGGGCTTCAAGAAAAGTCCGTCAAATTTTTATCGATGATGGTAATCTTAACAGTATCTTAAATTTTATCTAGCTAAATTCTTAATCGTGGTATTTGTAACAAAATTTATATCCATTCAAGACTATTGTTTTACCAATTTTGTCTTTTTAATCCTATTCTGTGCTCTATAAGCTACTAGGGAGATGGTTGTTTTAAAACGTAACACAAAATTCTAAGCCCTTGAAGTTGTTGGTTTTTGCTTTGAAGTTGATCTGTGTACCAACGTCAGCACGCCGCCCCTAAATTCGTGTTAGTTTATTCCGGATAAAAAGTAATAAATTTTTATGGTGTTTTAAACTTTAATATCAAGTAATTGAAAGATATGCGATATAAGTATAAATGAAGCATTTGGCAAATCTCTCTTCCTGTCAGGAGCAGCTGTAGTCCTGAGATATCTAGTTGACACGTGGATCACAGAGGCAGAATCTAACCGTCTAAGCATTGAAGTAGTGTAGACAAAGCCTCGCTTAACAAAAAACAGTGCTCCTGTTTGGGTTTTAAATATGATGCTATTTTGGGTCGGTTGTTTTTAGTTGATTCAAACAAGTAGTTCGTTAACTAATTGTAACGAATAAGTGTAACTGTAGTGTTAGTAAATTTTAAAATTCTAGGCATAAAACATCATCATGTCATTCAAAATTGTTCCTATAGTTTGCACGAGTATAACTATCCGACTATACCTATATGATGCCCCCTGGGGTTTGCCAGAAGTGTTCTTTTATTTTTTATGTAAATGACCCTGCTATTGACAGCTAAATTTACAAATGTCTGTCTAAATAAACACAGTACTTGCGAGTGCCTAATTGCTGATGAATATTCATTTCAAAGTAGCAAGCATAAGTGTCTAAATGCAGATGAAAGGTATGAATAGGTGCAAAGAAGCATTAAAGTGTACAAAGTTTAGAAAAGACAACAATCGTCTCATATTCTAGCCAATGGCCACTATTCTCCAAATTTTATGTTTGCAATTTGGTTGCTTGGCCAACGCCCACGCCCTCGAAAGCGACATTCTCAGTGGCTTTCAATTTTTTTAACCCGACGTTTCCACCCCATTTGGCATAAAAGCACTAATCAATAGACGGAAGGATCATTACTAAGGGATTTCAGTGCGAATAAAATTATTTGCCGATGAGTTTTGATTAATACTTGAATTCACTCCTGGTGCCTACACGGCTTTGAAATCGCCAAATCTTGGTAAATTTAGAATTCGGATACCTGGATAACCTAGGGACTATCAACCTCGAACAACTCTTTTACTCCATAGTGACCTTGGACTGTGTGTATAATTACTTTGGTTTAATTTAAGTAACTGTTTTTTGCAATTTTACTAAAACAGATTGTGATGTAACGTAACTTTAACAGAGTTATATTTATTTGTGACAAATAATGCTGCAAAGATGGATTAATCCACAAAGACTGAGGAGGAATTTTTAAATGGATTGAGCGTTTTTTGTGAGCTCCGATATGAACCAAGTGTTGCCAAAACTTGACTGAAACTAGCAACGTATGTTTCGAAGGTATTGGCTGAACTCTCCCCTATTTCAAGGTTTCTATGGATCATCTTTCGGACTATTCTTGGTGTTTCAAATGTTTTTTCTGGTAACTGAAAAATCTTCCATAAAAATGTAGCTGTCCTTGTAAAAGTACTTGAAATTCAGTACGTAAATTACAATTTAGCACTTTTAACTTAATAGAATATTTAAATTTGAAAATAAATAGTAATTCAATTACTATTTTTAATTTCTGAGATGATTACTTGAAAGGAATCCGTTTCGTTAATGCTCACTTTGAATATGCGTATTATACAAGGAGTTGCATGGCTTTCAATATTGCATTAAGTGCAATGATAGATTTTAGTCATAAAAAGGAAAATATGTTGGAGTAATAACTATTTAACGAAATAGACTAATGCAGAGTTTGGTTCTGAAGGCAATTGGAAGGCCAAGGGACATAATTTATTAAGGCTGAAAAGTTGCTTTCATTGATACTGTGATCTTAAATTGATTAAAACGGTAGCAAAATTGCCCCTCGTAAGTATAAGTGAGTAAATGGTGGCAACACTTTCTCCAGCTAATTGGTGGAAAAGGCTAAAATTTGAAATGTGCCCACGAATATGGGGTAAATACAATTGCATGGTCCGTGCAATACATAAGCGAAACTTGACCCAGTTCTAGTTCGTGCTTATTCAAATACCTTGGGCTGAGGTTGAATTGAAATACTTAATTTTAGAGTGGTGTAAAATTTTCGTGATAATAAATAATGCAATAGTATGAAAAACAGCTGGTCACTTGAAAACTTTTTATTTTTTATTCTAAAGTGGTTCAGAAAATCTTCATTTTTTACAAGATTGATCTGAAGGAAGTTAGAACGTAGGAATTAGTTAAATGTGCGTATATATCGAGGGATTTAATTGATCATGGATTCAAGACTTAAAGTTTAAAGGAAGAAAGGGCTTTATTTCCCAAATAATGTAGCTCTCACAATGTATTGTCATAAAATTGATTTTAAATTAAAATTAATTGATCAGCTTAGGGCAACCATATTGGTAGTTTCCCGCGAGAATGCATAGTGTTCTTTAACTCAACTAATTCCACTTTCAAATATAACGCACAAAATTAATTGATCAGTGTAATTAATTAAGTTATTATTTATCTTATTACTATTCGGAGCGATGGCAAAATATTATTAATTTTGCTATAAAATTTTATAGCAATTAATACCTGGGTAATTACGTAAATATGATAGTCCAGTAGATACTACTTTATTATATTAGTTACTATCTT